ACACGGCGACAGGCTGACACCGCCAATCAGCGCGGGCGCAGCAAGGTCACCGCGCAGCCCCGACTCGTGATTGGCTGCGGTGCGTCAGCGTGTTATTACTGTCTGATTTGATCGGAGGCAGGGGGTGGTCTCCAATCAAACAGAGAAAAGGTCCTGGAGAAGGTAATTAAATCCTGTCAGAGGCAATTATCGGTTCCAGGGCCATGACTCTGGCCCTGAATGCAGATGATCTGAAACTGTATTCTTGAAGAAATTCAAGAGGGGCCCTGGCTCGGTGCGGCTGGGCATAAAAGACTCAGCAGGCTTCCTGCAAACAATGCAGCTCTGTCTGAGCCTTTCTGCCTCCCCCGCCCCTTCTGCCTTTCTTCCCCTTTACCCGAAGACTTCGGCTTGCACTGATCAAAAATATTCCTTTGCGGGCCACATTCTAATTAATTTAATAGACAAGGCCTTCCTTTCTTGTACATAAATAATGACAAGTTTTACCGAAGAACTTCTGCCCCTAACACGGTACCGTGACAGCCTTTTATCAAGGCAAACAGAAGCTCGGAAACAGGACTCAAGCCTGCTTCAGATGAAGGCAGGGACCACGCGAAAAGCCTGCCCGAGACCCCGCCCGCCTCCCGTCCGTCTGTCCGTCCGTCCTATAACATGCGCCAGGGGCCTTTCCTGCTGTGACCATCTTGATCTTGGAGTTTCTCCAAGGTGACCCCGGTGGTGGGATAAGGGCTGCAGTTTTGTTTTTAAACCTACAGGCGAGGAGGGGCTGCAGCGCAGTTAGCCTGTGACCAGAAGGCCTCCCCGCAATATTCCGGGGGTTCCATTTTACACCGAAGCCTGGAAAATAAGAACGGAAGAAAGCAGCGGCCCCATAGGCACAGGCTCACTCTTGTGTAAAAACAAGACTTCAGCTTTGTTTCCTCGTGTTTTCTTTTCAACTGCTGTTAAATAAGCTTTAAGAGGTGGCTTTTGCCCAAGAACTCTGCACTAGGGGGTAGATGCCTCTCCAGATCCTGAATAATCGTCATTGTTCTCCACAGTAGGGCTCGGTTTGGCTGGGGGGGCGGCCCAGTGTGGAGCCTCGCAGCAGTTTCCAGGCCCTCACTCTCGGCTTTCCCGGCTCTGAAATAACTGCGTCCGGAGATGTCAGCCTTCCAGTCCCAGGGACGCAGCCTTTGATCCCGGTGAGCCCGAGTGTTATTTTTGCAAAAATAAGATGTTCAGAACACCGTTAAAACAATTTCTGTACTGCTGATGAAACAGTGTGACCGCTAGGGTTTCTCCCCGGGGAACACTTAACTTTCCTCCAATCTTGGTTGTTTTCTTTGTTTCTAAAACCCCGTATTCCTTAATACGGGTGACTCTATTTGTTTGTTGAAGCCTAAACAGATCTCTAAGCAAAACATTTTTAAAAGGTAGTCCTGCTACTAGGCTGGTCGATTCGCCAGAATGTGGTATTAGGCTGGGAAATAAATGTGGGGGGAGATGTTAATAATAACAAAAATGGCTTGGACACTGGGTTTAAAACATTGGGTCAGCTGGATTAATTTTTTTTTTTATCTCAAATTCAATTCTGCACTCAAGACCGGGAAAATGATGCTTAGTTCATCCCATATCATGTTTTTGTATCCTCAGACTTCACCAGATTCTCTAGTGAAGAAAAATACATAACAGAGAAAGGGGCAAACTGCTCCCGAGCCAGAGTGCATTTTAGGTCATTAGAACACCGCTAGGAACACAGTGTTTCTCTTGTCCTCCCCCAGACTGACAATTCCACGACCATTTCACTTTAGAGCAAGAGTTTATTTTTATCTAACCAGCCACTGTGCATTGTGTGCATCAGCTATTTTGTTTTATTCGTATTGAAGCAGTACCTGATTTAATGAAGATATTTTATAGAAAGAAATCTTTGTGTGTGAAGGAAAGAAACACTTCTTTTTTTCCCCAGCAGTATTATGGATGGAGCCCAGCACCTTCCACTGAGCTTCGTCCCCAGGTCGTCTTTATTTTATTTTTGATTTTGAAATGTCTTGCTAAGTCACTAATTTGGCCAAAATGGGTGCAAACTTGCACCTTCCTGCCTCAGCCTCCCAGAAATATTTCTTTTTAATTTATTAGTATATGCGTGTAGTACATAATGTTCATATTCCTTGTGTGAAGTTATCACATCTTAATTCCCTTTTTCTTGGCCTTCATTTCTTCCCTCCTTTTCCCTAACCTTCATGCTTTTATCCCTTCCCCTTTGAAAATGAGCTATCTCCCTACTTCCTATCATCTGCCTTTTATTTGGCTCTTTAATTTTACTCTGGGTTTCTCATATAAGAGACACGGTGTGATATTTAAATTTGTGTGTCTGCTTTACCAGGAAACATTTCTTGCAAGTAAAAAAAAAAAATGGAATACATTCCCACAATAACTGAGCTCAGCTCTTCTAGAACGAAGTGAGGAGGAAGGAGGAGGAGCAGAGGAAGAGGAAGGAGACTCTGCAGGACTGGGTGACCTATGCCTAGGTTCCTGCAGAAGCCTCTGTGCTCCGGGCAGCACTGTATTCTGTGCCTAGGAGCACCCTTCAGGGTGGACTTGAGCCACGGGAGGACAGGGTGAGCTCCTGCTCTGTTCAGGCCCCCACAGACCACCCAATGGCAGATACACCAGTTCCACCACACCCCTCTACCTGGTGGGGCCACCCTAAGGTAAGACCCCAGGGATCATCAATAACTACCTGGCTACGGCAGAGAAGTGGGTGGGAGGGAAGGGGAGACGCTAAATTGTGTCATTGAGGGGTTGCCTCTGGACTATTTCCTGGGTCCAGCCATCTGATTTGTTCACTAAACAGAGAGAGATGCTTTATTTACTCGACCACTTAATTTTGCGATCCTTCAAGCCCTGACCATGAGCCTGCCATAATGAAAACTCCCCACTCTCCAAGGTCCCTGGAATGGCACAAGTGGGCCACGCGTGATGCGTCTTTAAATGGTTTGTAGACAGAACTCTCCAGGGAGCATTACGGTGCACTCAGTATTAAAATGGATTTTAAAATTTACAACATTTATGCAAAACATTGAACATAATTCACATGTATCTCCTTATGCTCCATTGCTTCGGTGGTTATCAGGCTGGGAAGACAGGATCTGCCTTTTAATTGGCCATTTCCAGATTTCTAGTGAGATTCCCACGTCCACCAGCTACACCAGGAGCACGCAGCCCAAACAAAGCCCCGGGGTCCATCTTCAGGATAGTTCACGTGGGAGCAGTGATGTATGAGCAGCCATGGGAGCTGGGCGTGCTCCCCACCGATTACCTGGTGCACCGAAAATCTGTAAGCAGACAAGACAAAAGCCATCTGCAGAATATTCTTATTTGTAGGTTGGAATTCCTCAAAAGCAAATACAAAAGAAAAGAGCAACAAGGGTGTGAAGATCACTGTTAAGCAAAGCTGCTAAGAACAATATGCATTTTTAAAGGGGCTGGCAGTGAAAAATGATCGAGACCTCGCTGCTTGGGCAGGAGAAACTTCACTTGCAGTGTCTGCAGCGTCGCTGTGAATTTGGTTCCTGGCAAGAACATAGCCACCCCTCCAGGGATCTGAAAACAGATCAAGGTTTATTAATTTATTGGCTCTGCACTGAGGTGTATTGCAAAGCAATTTTAAGTACTTCATCTTGGTGTTTATTCACTGCTCACAAAGAGAAGCAGCCTTCCCACAAACCCTGAGGGTTTCTAGAATCATCCCGAGGGTATGAAATCTAAACACTACTAAATATTTTATTTGATATTTCTTATGGAGTGTCACCTTCACTCCTGACTTGCAAAACTCACAGTGAGCTCACTCTGTAGCAGGGTGCAGTTTCCTTGGAGGATGTGGGCTAAGAAGGAACCCTTTCCTTGTTTCGGGAGAGCTAAAGTAATGAAGGAGCGATCTCTGGGCAGAGCGAGGAATGCAAAACCAAGTTGGCCAGTGGAGGCCAGGGCACTGCGCTGGACGCCCAGGGATGCGGGTCCAAGTCCAGTAGCACCCTGAATGGCCACCAGGAGTGTCACCTGTGGTCGGCCCTCCTCCTCGGCACACCTGAGCTTTGCTTCCCGGCTGCAGGTAACACATTCAGTTACATCTGAATGCCAGACAAATACTGAACATTTCAGTAAAAATACGCTCCAGGGCTGCACGGGATACGTACTAACGTTATTTCCTTTTTGGTGGGATCCAAATGTTGCTGGTTATGCTGTGTTTTCTTTGCTAAGGCCGACAGCCACAGCCATGCACCTGCAGGGATACCTGCACTCATGCACACGTCCCCCAGGCCAGAGAGCGATGTGAAGACCTAAGGTGCCCCGGACGGAGGGTCCACGAGCGCTCTGGGGCTGACTTCTCCTCCTGGCGCTGTCACCTTCGGATGCCACCGCGAATCTGTTCTGCGCATTACCCAGTTACTCACTGCCTGTCTCCTACCCCAGCTTCACGGCTGCTTGGCCCACAGTCCCTCCTGCATGAAATCCTCTTTTAGCAGAAACGGCATTCTTCCCGAAGGGTGTTATTTCCCTCGTAATCTCAGCATCGGCCAGGCTGTGCTGGAGGTCACTCTCTGGGAGGCGCTCTGAGAGGTCCAGGGCAGGAAAGCGGGTGTGACGTTCTCATCTCTTCCAAACCTGTCTCTGTTCGCGGTCCGTTTCATCTGCCCCACGGGGCCCTTCCCACTCCTCGCTTCCTGTTCACCCTTCCCCTCAGTGGACGCAGCCTGTGCACTTTCTCGCTTGTGCTGGGCACACGCATGGACCATCTGTGGCTGTCCTGCTGACGCCCTCGCTTACGCACCGTGGCAAGTCATGAGCCGCCATGAAGACTTTGAACCTCCTCTCCTGGAGAGGTGGGGTCTGTCCCCCCGAGGACCCAGATGGCCCCGTGGCTTGTTTCCTCTAGTCGAATGTGACACGGGGGACACTGTGCTACCTTTGAGGCGGGTCTCTGTTTCCAAGGGTGGGTGGGATGGCGCCCGTGGGCAGAGAGGCCGCAGAGAGCCGGACCAGCGACCCGATGAGACCCCAGGAAAGGCATGAGGCCTCTGACAGCGTCAACCTGGCAGAGTCTGCAGCCCACTGCAGCGTCCCCGACCCCCCAGACCAGAGGTGCTCACTCATCTTCCAGCTGTCCCATTAGCTCAGCTGACTCACAGCAAATGAGCCAAGTAATCAAGACCCACGGGTTTCGGAGACTAAGTTACAGGCTGATTAATTAAGCAGCCCAGTTTATACGAATGTTTTGGCAGCTGGCTCATATTTTTTCTTCTTGTGTGTGGGTTCTACCGTCAGCCTGGAGCATTTCCACACCAAGATGGAGAGCCACGGACACCCTCTCCTCAAAGAAATTCATCTCCATCTAAAACAAAGCAAAAAACCACAATGAACGTTAGTGGCTTGGATGTGGAAAGAGAGAGACAGAAGAGTATAAGGGCAGCAAGTGCCGGGGTGTGATACAAGGAGGCCAAGTCCTTTCTGGATTGGCAGCACAAACACAGAAACAAGTGGGAAACTCGTTCATCGACAATCACACCTAACAACGTAATCAGGTCTGTATGAAAAAACCTCAGCTCCAGCCCTCCGTGAGCCATTACTTCCCAAATGGACCTGTGAGAAGGAGCTGGACAATAGTGATCAGGGCTGGGCTCGGGGAGGTGAATATTCCAGCAGTCGAGTGATAACGAGAATTCTGCCACCAGTGAGACGAACCAGCAGGGGTATTCCACAGACATCGGAGTTAGGGCAGGTGTGGGAGGCCCTGGGGAAGGTAAGGGTGCTGAGTCGTGGCACACTGGGCATCTCACGTCCCTCTGCACCCAGCCAGCCGTCAACCGGGCTGACACAGAACCCGCTCCTTTGCCCAGACGGCCTCTGCAGTACTCACACCCTTTGGTGCCCAGGGCGGAGATCCCAGCCACCTGTCCACTCCTGCTTTGGGAGAAGACACAGACCAGGGAGAACGAAACTTTTAGAGACCAAACTGCAACCCCCAAATCACTGATCTATTGCAAAGTGCCCACCAAATAGGGTGGTTTTCGTTTAGAGACAACGGCTTCGCACCCTCACATCTTCTGTCTTATAAGAAGAACAAGTAACACACCTCCCACAGGTTCCACCACTGCCCTGGAGAGCCGCAAGCTGTAACTCGACCCACATCCAACGACTTGCG